TCAAACCCACAAACCACAAGATCATGACCTGAGCCAAAGTCGGAAGCTTAACTGACTGACTGAGCCATCCAGAGGCCCCAATATCTACAACTTTTAAATTGTTAAAAAAAAAAAAAAAGATGCTGGGAGCGAAAGACATTAGGAGAGAATAATAAGACAAATGCAAAAATGTACTATTTTTGTAACTTTTCTGTAAACCACTAAAAAGCTACCAAAAGAAAAAAAAAATCAGAAGGAAAGTAACTACTTAAATATCAAAAAAAAAAACAAACCCACAACCCAACAGCAATGTATGGTGAAATGCAACAGCAAATGGTATACTAAATGGCACAATGGTGAAGGCACTTTCATCAAAATCAGACATAAGACAGGGATACTCACTATAATTTTCTTACTCTATTACACTAGCTAATAATGTAATAAGATAAAATGAAATCATTTTATTGGAATCATTATATTGGAAAAGATAAAGACATCCACTTTTACTTTCAAATCATATGATTATATATCTTATCTACTTTGTTATCAGAAAACCTAAAAGATACTAATAATTACAAGAGCTGGATAAGAAGATTTGGTAAACCAATTAGATAACTGTATAGAAATCAATAGCTTTTTTTTACACTAGCCATAATCATTTAGAGTAAAAGTGATTTAGGGGTGCCTGGGTGGATAGGTTGGTGGTTAAGCATCTGACTCTTGATTTCAGCTCAAGTTATGATCTCACAGTTCATGAGACTGAGCCCTGTGCACTGGGCTCTGCTGATAGTGAAGAGCCGTTTCGGGATTCCCTCTCTCCTGTCTCTCTGCCCCTCCTCCAGCTTGTGTGTGCTCTCTCTCAAAATCAAAAAGAAGTAAAAGTGGGGCGCCTGGGTGGCGCAGTCGGTTAAGCGTCCGACTTCAGCCAGGTCACGATCTCGCGGTCCGGGAGTTCGAGCCCCGCATCAGGCTCTGGGCTGATGGCTCAGAGCCTGGAGCCTGTTTCCGATTCTGTGTCTCTCTCTCTGCCCCTCCCCCGTTCATGCTCTGTCTCTCTCTGTCCCAAAAATAAATAAATGTTGAAAAAAAAAAATGAAAAAAAAAAAAAAAGAAGTAAAAGTGACTTAAAAAAGTCCCTTCAAAATAGTAATAATACAATAATCAGAAATAAACTTAAATAGGGGTGCTGGGGTAGGAGACACCGGTTAAGCATCTAACTCTTGACCTTGGCTCAGGTCATGATCTCATGGTTCGTCAGCTTGAGTCTCACGTTGGGCTCTGTGCTGACAGTGCAGACAGAGCCTGCTTGAAATTCTCTCTCCCTCTCTCTGCCCCTACCCCACTCCTGCTCTGTCAAAATAAACTTAAAAAAAATTTTTTTTAAAGAAATAAACATAAACAAGTACAGAACCTAATGGAAAAAAATAATTAAAAGATTTTGTTGAAAAACATTAAAAAAAGAACAGAAACAAATATGGAAAGACACGTCCTATTTCTGGATAGGAATGATTATAAAAATGCCAATGCATACCAAATTAATATATAAATATAATTTCATCAAGACTAAGAGATTTGTGAGGAAGATATGGTTAAAATATTTTTTAAGTTCATATGGAAGAATAAATACTAATATAAGACTAGCTGAGAACATTTTTTATAAAGAAACATAGTGAGAGGAGATTTGTTTTACCAAATATTAAAATGAAAATATTTTGGTGTTGCTATAGAAACAAAATGGCGAATCTAGAAGAAGATCCAATTCAGTAGGTAGTCATTTATGCTGGCATAAATGACTTTCCACTGAAAGTAAACATAATAATACATTTTAATACTCTATATTATTATAGAATATATATTACATACTCTATATATTCTATCATATATATATATATTTTTTAGTTTATCTTTATTTTTGACAGAGAGAGACAGAGCACAAGCAGGGGAGGGGCAGAGAGAGAAGAGAGGGAGACACAGAATTTAAAGCAGGCTCCAGGCTCTGAGCGGTCAGTACAGAGTCTGATGCGGGGCTTGAACCCACAAACTGTGAGATCATGACCTGTGCTGAAGTCGGACGCTTAACCAACTGAACCACCCAGGCGCCCCTATCATATAATATATATCTATATATTATATACATAATACTCTTATTCTCTATTATGAAAAGAAAAATTAATTACCAAAGGATTGAAGATTAAAATGTAAAAAAAAAAAAAAGTTAAGAAAAATATTATAAGAAAATTTTTAGGTAATTATTTTAATAAATTTGAAGTAGAAGAAAGCCTGTCAAGTACAAAATCTAAAAGCCATAAAAAAGACACTTTACTTCCTTGAAGCAACGTCATAATGAGTATAATATGGCTGATAAAAATTATAAATCTGTAATTTCTAGTAGTCCCACCAGAAAGGAAGATTATTTAAATGTTGAACTAACCTGTTGTATTATTTGCCATATCATACATGTAGTGTCTCTCGAACCAGAAATCAAATGTATTCCACAATAATCTGTAGCTAAACAAGTAACAATATCTGTAAGAAAAAAGGATCACAAAAAAATGAAATGGCATGGTTTTGCTGGAACAGAACTAAAAGGGCAATTTTAGTTCATGGTCAAACTATTACTAAATTGGTTGTTCTAGCAGGAGAAATGTAGGAACGGCAATGGAAAAGCACTGGGGAAGAATAACACAGGAAACAAGCATTTCTAAACTCATGTAGAGGATCTTTCTTTGAGGTCACCCAGCTGTGAGAGTTAAGAGTACACACAGGGCAGGGAAATGTCCATCAGAGTCCTGCTAGTGGGTTAGGAGGCTTGAAATGGATCCCCAGGTAGTTTTGATAGGCCTCTCTGCTCTCTTACTCTCTCATCCCCATTTACCTTCTACTCCCATTAAGAACTGAAATCCTGTGCAATATATGCCCCTAATCAAAAAAGCACATATTACACTGCAAATTCACACAATATAAAATACATTTCTACTAAAAGGTAAAAACCTGAGCTAAGTGGCATCTCAGGAGCCATTGGTACAGAATTAGTAGCAGACTCCCATTTCCCTTTTGTAATAGGTTTATCAGGAGGAAATCTACACCATGTCTTATTTTTATAGTAAAATGAACAGCCTAAGAAGTACCAGGTTAAACCACATTCAATAATTTACCTCTTTCATGCCTAACTATTAACTAAGTAATAGGGCAGGTGATGTCTTCTTCAACAACGACAGATTTTTTTTTAAGTTTTGTCTTAAAATTCTTACTTGTATCAACCAATTTTTTAAAAAAAGGCTTAGCCTAACATCTTTCAGATACTATGAAGCTGTATTTAATTTATATGGTATTTAGTATACCCCAAAACATTAAATACTCTTAAAGAAAGCATATAATGTTCATAACATTGCTCTATCAAAAAAAAGTTCACTCAGCTTCAAAGGTAAATACTAATGTTTTTTATAAGGAGGATGTACTACTTTTGTAGTTAGAAGACACAGGGAAACTTTGCTTTTTTGGGAGAAAAAAGTTAACACTTACCCATGTGTCTAATATTGTGTGAGACAGTTTTGCCTTTTGTAAGTGACATCACTTGAATGCTATTATCCCAGTGTCCAGCACTGAAAAGCAACTTTGCATCATGTGATACTATGAATAGCTTAGAAGTTATTTCCAGCCCTGGAGCAAAAGGACCATTCATACTACGCTGAGTTCTGTAAACATAATTAAATATTAGACTTTTCCATAAAAGACCATTTACACCGATATCAACTATTTTTTAAATCTCTTTAAAAAAGAAATAAAAATAAATCTCAACTGTTCAATTGAAATGACCATTAGTGAATGATAAAGATTTTCAGAAAAAATTAATCTTATTCATATTTTTCATCAAATAAAAATATACATAATAATAATTTCAAGGGTTAAGCTAAAGAGGTTGAGACTGGTGAAGGTGTGAAAAATATTTAAATCTTGTCTTTCAAAGCCAATTTAGTAAGACTGTAGATTCTGTAAAATGTAGTATCAAACTATTAAGCACAAGAAGGATATGACAGGATGAGGAACTGGAAATCAACTCAAACCAGAAATCTACCTCATAAGCAGTTAAATGTGTATCGAACAATATTCATGAAGGTAATTCTTCACTCAAACCAAAGCAAGCATGTTGGTTTTATCTGTTTCCCAGTGAACTAACTGTGAACTCAGTCAACCCAGATTTTGCAGAAAGATACAAAGAAGTGATTGCACTTTAGCGTGCATACAGAGAATGAGGGCCAATTCTGACAGTTCAGCTCTAGAATTTTATTATTCAATATCAATATGCTGAAGGTATGCTTTGTGCCAAACACAAAGAGTACTAAGACCTATGTGGGATAAGAAGGAAAAAAGACATTGCTCCTAATAAACAGCTCAAATAACTCTGAATAAGGGAAACATCACTTTAACTTAAAATGTAACCTTTGGATACTTAACAAATTAAGGTAAATAATAAATTCTTCTTATATAAACACATAAGGCTTATTTATAAACAACACGGTACAATAAAAATAAAATTAAGCCTCAAAATTATTGCTAATAATTTGTTTCCCTATGATATTATATAAGTTGTTTTATCCTTAAACCAGTATCAAGTCAGGAAGAGGGAAAAAACAAAAGAGAGAAGGAGAGAGGGAAGAAAATCTGGAGGCCTACTGTATTACTATCAAAATGATACCAATCAATCTAGTTGTTTTTCCTGGCAATAAGGTACCAGCTGCACCTGTTTTGCTTTAAATGTTCATTTACTTACTTTGGATTTGTCACAGTTTGATCTTTGATGAATGTAAAGTAATTAGAAATGTTTCTGTCATAAGGCAACCATCCATGGGTTCCAACAACATAATTCATGCTTACTGTTATCTGGAAGAGAACACATGAAGACAAATATGAAATAAAAGATTAAAGAAAGCAGCACAGAATAACCAAATGCTCACATGATGTTAGCATTTATCATTTAGGGAGTAATGTGGGATTGTGTACTTAAAACACAAAATTCATTAGTCCTTTTTAAGATTTATTTTTAAGTAATCTCTGAACTCCACGTGGGGCTTGAAATCACAGCCCCAAGATCAAGAGTCACATGCTTTGCCAAATGAGCCAGCCAGGTATCCCTCATTAATTACATCTTAATTCTTAAAAAGAGCAGTCTTAATACTAATAAAGTCTTAAAATGGAAAAAGTCATTTCTTATTTTTATCTTTTATGTTATTGCAAGAAAAACTGTCCAATGAATCTTTCTTTAGTGAGAGAATTTTCGTCATTTCTCAAACTGTATTAGCATTTTAGTTGGCAGTCAGAAGAAATTAAGGGTCAAGTCTTACCATAAAAATACGACATATTATATATAATTTAGAACATAAATCAGAAGTACAATTTATGACAAATTGTTAAGGAGGTCTCTCATCTTAGTGACAGTAAGAGTGAACGTTGTTTTAAAGATGAAAAACTGGGGCGCCTGGGTGGCTCAGTCGGTTGAGCGGCCAACTTCGGCTCAGGTCATGATCTCGTGGTCTGAGTTCGAGCCCTGCGTCAGGCTCTGTGCTGACAGCTCGGAGCCTGGAGCCTGTTTCAGATTCTGTGTCTCCCTCTCTCTGACCCTCCCCTGTTCATGCTCTGTCTCTCTCTGTCTCAAAAATGAATAAACATTAAAAAAACAAAAAATGAAAAATGAAAAACTTTCCCCCCCTTGATTATAAAACAGATTAAAAAAAAGATAACTTAAAGAAATGCAGGTATTAAAGGTGAAATCATAAGGATTCCATCATTGAAAAGCACTTTCATTTTCTTTTGTTTATCTTTCTAGATGTTTTTCCTAAACAAACACACAATATGCGTAATTAGAAAGATAAGTCTAATTCTGGAATCTCTACTGTTCACTATGCTATACTCTGTTTTTATAATTTGTACCTGACAAAATGAGAATAAGACATACCTAAGTTTGGTCCATGTGCCTGTCCCAGATCCAAGATTCTTTACTTGCTAGTTCTATGACTTCGAGCAAATTACCTTTCTTTTTTTAAGATTTATTTATTTTTGGGGTGTCTGGGTGGCTTAGTTGGTTGAGTGTCCAACTTCAGCTCAGGTCATGATCTCATGGTCTGTGGGTTCAAACCCTGTGTTGAGCTCTGTGCTGACAGCTCAGAGCCTGGAGCCTGCTTCCAATTCTGTGTCTCCCTCTCTCTCTGCCCCCCAGCCCCCCGCTCATGTTCTCCCTCTCTCTCAAAAATAAACATTAAAACAAAAAGATTTATTTATATTTGAGAGAGCGAGCACAAATGGGAAGGGCCAGATAGAGAGGGACTGAAGACCCTAAGTGGGCTCTGTGCTGACAGCAGTGAGCCTGATGCAGGGCTTGAATTCACGAACCATGAGATCATGACCTCAACCAAAGTCTGACGCTCAACTGACTGAGCCACCCAGGTGCCCCTGAGCAAATCAGCTATGAATTTTAGTTTCTAAACTATAGGAAGGAAATAATAATGGTGCCCATCTAACAGGATTATTAGTGCCCATCTAACAGGATTAAATTACAAACTTCGTGTAAACTACTCACTAACATCTCCCGCATCTATACCTTCCTCAATTCTGTATTATTTCTCATTTTTATTACTTATACTGCCTTATGATATATTGTAATATCTAATAAGATGTTACATCCTATTTTTCTGGTATAAAATTTTCTGGTATTAGGACACCTGGATGGCTCAGTCAGTTGAACGTCTGATTTTGGCTCAGGTCATGATCTCACAGTCCATGAGTTCAAGCCCCGCATCGGGCTCTATGCTGTCAGCTCAGAGCCTGGAGCCTGCTTGGGATTCTGTATCTCCCTCTCTCTCTGTCCCTCCCCCAATCGTGCGCACGTGCTCTCTCTCTCTCGCTCTCAAAAATGAATAAATGTGGAAAAAAAGATTAAAAAAATAAAAATAATAAAATGTTCTAGTATTTTCACATCAGAATTACAGCTAACTACTTGAACATTGCTATGAAACTAGAAGAAAACCACAAGAAAAGCATCTGGAAAGACCACAAATACATGAAGGCTAAATAACATGCTACTAGGCAATGAATAAGTCAACCAGGAAATAAAAGAAGAAGTTTAAAAAATACATGGAAACAACTGAAAATGAAAATACAACAGTCCAAAACCTCTGGGATCTAGCAAAAGTGGTCCTAAAAGGGAAGTACAAAGTAATACAGGCCTACCTCAAGAAGCAAGATCATTTATATAAATAATAAGAATCTAACCTTATACCTAAAGGAGCTAGAAAAAGAACAGTAAATGAATCCTAAAGCAAGCAGAAGAGGTGAAATAATAGATAAGAGCAGAAATAAAAGATATAGAAACTAAAAAAAACAATAGAACAGATCAATGAAAACAGGAGCTGGTTATTTGAAAAAATTAATTGATAAACCTGTAGTCATACTATTCAAAAAGAAAAGAGAAAGGACTCAAATAAATAAAATCACAAATGAGAGAGGAGAAATAACAACCAACATCACAGCAATACAAACAATTATAAGGGAATATTGTGAAAAACTATACCCCAACAAACTGGATGATCTGGAAGAAACAGATAAATTCCTAGAAACATATAAATTACCAAAACCAAAACAGGAAGAAACAGAAAAGTTGAACAGACCAATAACCAGCAAAGAAACTGAATCAGTAACAAAAATAACTCCCAACAAACAAAAAACCCATGACCAGATGGCTTCACAGGCAAATTCTACTAAATATTTAAAAAAGAGTTAATACCTATTCTTTTCAAACTATTCTAAAAAACAGAAAAAGATAACAACTTAATTTCATTCTATGAGGCCAGCATTATCCTAATTGCAAAACCAAATAAAGATACCATATAAAAGAGAAATATAGGCCAATATCCCTGATGAACATAGATGCAAAAGTTCTTTAAAAAATACTAGCAAACCAGATCCAACAGAACATTAAAAAAAAACATTCACCACAATCAAGCTGGATATTCTTGGGTTGCAAAGGTGGCTCAATATTCACAAATCAACCAACATGATACATCACATTAATAAAAGAAAGGAAAAGAACCATATGATCATTTCAATAGATGCAGGAAAAGCATTTGGCAAAGGACAACATCTATTTATGATAAAAATAAATGGAAAGATATTCCATGCTCATGGATTGGAAGAAAAAATATTTTTAAAAAGTCATACTACTCAAAGCAACCTACAGTTTTAATGCAATCCCTATCAAAATGTCAACATCAAAGGGGCGCCTGGGTGGCGCAGTCGGTTAAGTGTCCGACTTCAGCCAGGTCACGATCTCGTGGTCCGTGAGTTCGAGCCCCGCGTCAGGCTCTGGGCTGATGGCTTGGAGCCTGGAGCCTGTTTCCGATTCTGTGTCTCCTCTGCCCCTCCCCCATTCATGCTCTGTCTCTCTCTGTCCCAGGGATGGATAAAAAACGTTGGAAAAAAAAAATTTTTTAAAAAACAAAATGTCAACATCATGTTTTCACAGAACTAGAACAAACAATCCTCAAATTTTTATGGAAACACAAAAGAGAAAAGCAAAGCTGGAGTCATCACAATTCCAGACTTCTAGTTATATTACAAAGCTGTAGTAATCAAAATAGTATGGTACTGGTACAAAATAGACCCACAGATCAATAGAACAGAACAGAAAACCCAGAAATGAACCCACAACTATATGGTCAACTCATCTTTGATAATGCAGGAAAGAATATCCAATGGGAAGAAGAATGTCTCTTCAGCAAATGGTATTGGGAAAACTGGGCAGCTACATGCAAAAGAATAAAATGGGACTACCTTCTTATAGCATACACAAAAGCAAATTCAAAATGGGTTAAAGACTTAAATGTGAAACCTGAAACCATAAAAATCCCACAGGAGAACATAGACAGTAACTTCTTTGACATTGGCCACAGCAACTTCTTTCTAGATATGTCTCCCGAGGCAAGGGGAACAAAAGCAAAAATAAATTATTGGGACTTCATCAAAATAAAAAGCTTCTGCACAGCAAAGGAAACAATCAACAAAACTAAAAGGCAACCTATGGAATGGGAGAAGATATTTGCCAAGAACATATCTCATAAAGGTTAGTATCCATAATATATGAAGAACTTAATAAAATGGAACACTCAAAACACCAAATAAACCAATTAAAAAATGGGCAGAAGACATGAATAGACATTTTTCCAAAGAAGATATACAGATGGCCAACAGACACATGAAATGCTCAACATTACTTATCATCAGGGAAATGCAAATCAAAACTACAATGAATTATTTCCTCACACTTGTCAGAATGGCTAAAATCAACAACACAAGAAACAAGAGGTGTTGGTGAAGATGTGGAAAAGGGGGACCCTCCTGCACTGTTGGTGGGAATGTAAACTGGTATGGCCACTCTGAAAACAGTATGAAGTTTCCTCAAAAAGATAAAAATAGGACTACTCTGCCATCCAGCAACCACACTACTAGGTATTTATCCAAAGAATACAAAAGTACTAACACAAAGGGATACAAGCACCCTGATGTTTATAGCAGCATTATCTACATACCATAACCAAATTATGGAAATAGCCTAAATGTCCATCAACTGATGAATGGATAATGATGGAATATTATTCAGCCATAAAAAAGAATGTAATCTTGCCATCTACAAAGACATGGATGGAGCTAGAGAGTATTATGCTAGGTGAAATAAGTCAGAGAAAGACAAATACCATATGATTTCACTCATATGTGGCATTTAAAAAACCAAAGAGCAAAGGGGGAGAAACAGATAGAGGGAGAGAGGCAAACCAAGAAACTATGGAGACCAAACTGATGGTTAGCAGAAGGGAGATGAGTGGGGAGATGAGTGAAATAGGTGATGGGGATTAAGGAGTATACTTGTTGTGATGAGCACTGGGTGATGTACACAATACTATATTATACACCTGAAACTAGTAGTATACTCTATGTTAACTAACTGGAATTTAAATGAAAACTGAAAAAAATTTTTTGACTCTAAAAATTGACCAAAAGCAAAAAATAAATCAAGACACATTGACAGGAAAAAAAAAGTATATTACAGTTAACTACTTGAAATAAAAGCTGTGTATCTAGAAGACACATTTTTTATACTCAGTCAAAATAATTCCATAAAAATGGTCTTTATTATTTAAAAAGTCTTTAAATTTTTTTTATTTTCTCATTTTTTAAAAACGTTTATTTATTTTTATTTTTGAAGGAGAGAGAGAGACAGAGTGTGAGTGGGGGAGGGGCAGAGAGAAAGGGAGACACAGAATCTGAAGGGCTCCAACTCACGAGCAGTGAGATCACGACCTGAACTGAAGTGGGAACACTTAACTGACTGAGCCACCCAGATGCCCCATATTTTCTCAATTTTTTTGATGAGTTGTAATGTACACAAACATAGCAGTGAGAAAAAGCCATAAATCTACTTACCAGTAACTCAGGACTGCCTTGAGACATAAAAGAGCGAGACTGATTTTTGGGGACAATGGCCTTTATTAGTGGAATACCATCACTAATTCCCTATAAAATAAAAGACGGAGGCTTAGTGGCTGGTTCTGTTATCTTTATTAGTTACAAGTTATTGAAAACTTCTATTTCTTTAAACAAGAATGAACCCAGTAATACAGCATTTTACTCTATCAAAACATATCATTTAATTAAAATGTAGGAAAGGAGAATCACTATGCTGTACTCTTGAAACTAATATAACAGTGTGTGTTAAATGTACTTTAATTCTTTAAAAAGGCTAAAAAATGTAGGAAAGGAATTATATACCATGTTTGGATGGCATACTTGAAACTTCTCAAACCCATCATTTTCTTGTATTCTACTACTTCACTGTGAAACAGATGCAGATTTCAAGGAGTATCAACCATTTAAACAGCCAGTGATTTAGAATCTTTCCTTTTCCCTTGCCATACTGGCATTAATATAAAGTAGAAAATACAGACCATATAAGAGTACATTGCTCAAATAAGTCAAATGAGACAACTGGTTATATTCTATAGAATTTCCTTTTGGGTTTAACTTTCAAAACACAGATCTATCCCGTTAACTGAGGCAATCTATGTAAGCCGTAACAATAGGACGAGAAAATAAAGAGTTCTCAGAAAATTGGCATTTATCTTATATAATGTGAAATGGAACAATGATTTGAATTAAGTTTTGTGACAGTGGTTCATAAATTATACCTAACATTTATTAGGTAAATTATAACTTAATATTATTGGGTATATACTATGTACCAGGTGCTATTCTAAGAGCCTCATATGAATAATCAATGATAAACTATAAAAAGTTAGTGCCTACCTTTTCTCTTCACTCTGTAGATCAAGAAAAGAACTTACATTTGAACAAGCATAAATGAAAATGGTGTCTGAAGAAAACTATTTATTAGGCCTTTGCTTTCACTGCTACCTGTTTTCTTCACCATTTTAACTAGGAAGAGATGACCTATAGAGACCTTTTTTCATATGAATGAGTGGGGAAATACCTTCCCCTATGATGATGTAAAGGGATTAACAAATTATTAGTACCCAAGGATATTTATTGTGTTTTTTATCCTGCTCCAGATACTGGTCCCGAGGATAGCTACCCTGTGACACAGTGGGTACAGAGAGGGACAGATGTCACTGCAGTTGCAAATGCAACTCGGAATGTATTATTCTATAAAAACAAAGTTGCACATGATTAGACATGGTGAAATCATTTTATCACCATTGCATAATAAATATAGTATTACATGTCCATCAGATTATAGGATAAATAGGGTTTTATGGGTTGCCCTATGTGCAGTGGAGAGTTAACACAGAAGGATTGAGACAGCTCTTTTTAATTTTTTATTTTTTTAAATGTTTGTTTATATTTGAGAGAGAGCGAGAGAGACAGAGCGCTAGTGGGGGAGAGGCAGAGAAAGAGGGAGACACAGAATCTGAAGTAGGTTCCAGGCTCCAAGCTGTCAGCACAGAGCCTGATGCAGGGCTCAAACTCACGAACCTCAAGATCATGACCTGAGCCAGAGTTGGACACTTTAACTGAGTCACCCAGCCATCCTGAGACAGCTCTCCTTAGAAAGGCCTTCTTGTAAGGTCGGCCCTTGGCTGGTATCTGGGAACTTGGTGGGCAGAGTTCCTTACACTGATATAAAACTTGTCTTCAATGATAAAAGTGGCTCATTATTTCTAGATTATTTGTGCAAACAATATGGCTTGTGCTGAAGATGTGCTTTTGTACTTGGAGTCTAGAATTTTAGCATGTGCTAAGCAGAGGTTGCTCATGTTACCAGCCTCCAATAAAAACCCTGGGTGTTGGGGTGCCTGGCTGGTTAAGTTGGTAGAGCATGTGACTCTTTATTTCACAGTTGTCAGTTCTAGTCCCACAATGGGTGTAGAGATTACTTAAAAATAAAGTCTAAAACAAAACAGAACAAAACACAACACCTGCCCTGGGTGGTGAGTCTTTAATGAGCTTTCCTGGTAGACAAATTTGTTTTCACATTTCATTACCGGTAGAATTAAGCACATCTTATGTGACTCTACTGGGATAGGATTAATTCTTGGATGCTTGTACCTGGTTTCCCCTGCACTCCACCCGATGTGCCTTTGCCCTTTGTTGATGTTGTTTTGTATCCTTTCACTGTAATAAATTTTAGCTGTGAGTATAATAATAGGTTGAATCCTGTGAGTCTTTCTAGCAAATCACCAAACCTGAGGGTGGTCTTGGGGACCCAGAACACATCTGGGAATTAGTCATCATCTTTTTTTTTTTTTTTTTTAGTAAGCTCTTTGCCCAACGTGGGACCTGAACTCATGACCCCAAGATCAAGAGTCCCATGCCCCACCAACTGAGCCAGCCAGGTGCCCCAAATTAGTCATCATTTCTAAGTACTGTTTCTATTTATGCTGAATTTCAGGCAACTGACTTAGATACTTTGGGAAAACAACTGATTCTGGGGAGTTTGTATTATTAAACACTAAATAACTATCTCATTAAACATGAATTTAAGAAAGGAGTGACAAAGATTAATTATGAAGTGCTTTCACAGACATGTGAAAACATTTACGTTAAAATACCGCAGAGCTTACTACAACATTGTTCATTTGAGTAAAAGTCAGTTTAAAGCTAACTATAACAAACTTAAAATTTGTTATACCAAATTATCAAAAAATTCTTTAAAGACTTCCCATGGTACTGAACCTAAGAAACACATTATAATGATGCTCTGATGCAGGGTTTGACAAACTAGGCCTATGGTTGAAGTCCTGCCTACCACATGTTTTATAGGTTGTAAGTTGAGAATGGTTTTTAATTTTTACTTTTTTTTTTTTAACGTTTATTCATTTTTGAGAGACAGAGAGAGACAGGGCATGAGCGGGAAAGGGGCAGAGAGAGGGAGACACAGAATCTGAAACAAGCTCCAGGCTCTGAGCTCTCAGCACAGAGCCTGATGCAGGGCTTGAACTCACACACCGTGAGATCACGACCTGAGCTGAAGTCGGATGCTTAACCGACTGAGCCACCCAGGCGCCCCAATTTTTAAATGGTTATATTTTAAGTGGTAATTATGTACCTACATAATATTCTTGATTTTGACTTTGGATTACGAAGTCCAAAAATATTTACTATCTGGTTAAATTAAGAAAAGTTTACCAAACTCTACTGTATTGCATGAGTTACTGCTTGTTCCACACATCTCCAAGCTATTCTTTTATTCCCCCCAAACTATTCTTAATAACATTTTTTTGAGAGAGAGAGAGAGAGGGAGAGACAGAGAGGGAGACAGAGAAGAGAAGAGATGCATGCGTGGGGGAGGAGCAGAAGAAGAGGGACAGAGAGAATCCCAAGCAGGATCCCTGCCCAACACAGAGCCAGACATGAGGCTTGCTCTCACAACTGTGAAATCATAACTTGAGCTGAAATCAAGGATTGGATGCTTAACTGACTGAGCCACCCAGGCACCCCTTCTTAATAACATTTCATTATCATTTTTTCTTCTTGCCAAGAGTTAATATTATCTGTCCTAACCAAATTCACAGGTATAAATGCATTCATATTCTGAACCATGCTAAGTAATTCAACATGTATAAACATTTGAATTTAAAGCACTCTTTCAATTATAGCATTAACTACCTTGTTTACTTCATTATTCCTTCTGATATTAGCAATTAACAATTTGACTTGCTGGGCCATATTTTATAAATATGCAGACACTGTAATTAAGAGTTATTTCACACACCCTCTACCTATCATCTCAGCTGTCATAAAAAGGAATTTAAATCAAATTATTTATTCTTCCTTGTCAAGAAAATGTAAAATAAAAGAAAGCTAAGAGAAACATTTCACACTACCACTCAGCGGCAAACAAAACTCCCAATAAGATTGTTTTAAAAATCCTGGATGCCTAGGAGGTTCAGTTGGTTAAGCATCTGACTCCTGATTTCAGCTCAGGTCATGATCTCATAGTTTGTTGAGTTTGAGCCCCGCATCAGGCTCTGCACTGATGGTGCAAAGCCTGCTTGGGATTCATTCTCTCTCTCTCTCTCAAAATAAATATATTTAAAAAAATAAACAATAAAGAAAAAATTGTTTTAAAAATTCAAGAACATATTATTGCAACATTATTTATGATTTTGGACTAAATATTTATGATGCCCCTCCCTATAGAGAATAAAAGGAGCATTGAGGTGTACAGAATTCATAGAGAAAATGCTTTGATATTACCAAGTTTATATTACCTCTATAAAAAATGACTTGAGTTCGGAGAGGTGCTGAAATAGGTTCAGGGTTGAAGTGTCTGTTTTGGCCTGCTTCTGCACTGCTTCCTCTGCTGACAATCTAGGAGGATGTGGTTCCTTCAAAATAATTTTAAGAAAAATAATTCCGTAATTATATTAAGACATATCTTACTGTATTCTTTCATACATACTGGGCTCTAGTTACAACAGATTATATACCATGCACTGTTGACAATTCTAGGCCATTGTTCAGAGTACTCCCCTCAGCAGAATTCCTACTCTTTTCATTTCTAAAGAAACCCTACTTCTACTTTAAAGTTTTTCTTACTGATGTCTATCTTGAATTTCTAAGCCAGAATTAATTATTCTCTTTGATTATCTTCACCAGCATATTACTTTGTTTAGTATTTTATTTGTTACTTATTTCTAATTTGGATTACATACTTGTTTATGGTCTATCTTTTCCAACTAGGCAATAGGTATCTATCTTTTTTTTAATTTTAAGATTTTATTTTTTAAAATAATCTCTACACTTAATGTGGGGCTCAAACTCACAATAGCAAAATTAAGAGTTGCATGCTATACTGACTGAGCCAGCCAGGGGCCCCTAGGCAACAGGTATCTTTAAAAAAATTTTTATTTTTATTTTTAGTTTATTTATTTTTAAGAGACAGAGAGAGAACCAGCAGGGAGGAGTCGGGGCAGGGAGGGGTGGGGGGTGGATAGATCTGAAGCAGGCTCTGTGCCAGCAGCAGAGTCTGATGAAGGACCCAAACTCATGAACCGTGAGATCCTGACTGAGCTGAAGTCAGACACTTAGTCAAATGAGCCATCCAGGTGCCCCAGCAGTAGGCGTCTTAAAGTCAGAAAACAAGTCTTACTCATTTTTGGATTTTTGATACCTGTTATATTGAATATGACAGAGGCTTAATAAGTATTTGGTAAAATTAAATGAATTGCTCAGAAGTCAAAATTTACATGGGTGAATCCTTATTTCCTGAAATAAGATAGAAATGTCAATACTATCAGAATCCTATTATACATATTGCTGCATTTGTTTTCAAATAAATTATTCTTCCTTAACTTTAATGTCAGAGACATAGAACAGTGTTACCTTTATAAATAAGAAGTAAACGGCAAATCAAATTAACATGCAAAAGGCATAGTTAAAATGCAGAACAGAATTCCATCTATAGGGGATTTTTCTATCTCCATCACAAAATATTCAATTATAGAAAATAGTATGACAGCTATAAGTACTTCAATAGTACTCAATTAGCTCTCAATCCATATATTAGTCACTTTATTATTAAAAAAAATGTTTTTAATGTTTATTTTGATAGAGACGGTGCAAGTGGGGGAGGGATAGAAAGAGGGGGAAGAAAGAGAGAATCCCAAGCAGGCCCTGCACCTTCAGCACAGAGCCCAATGCAGGGCTCGAACTCAAAAAACACAAGATCATGCATGAACTGAGCCAAAATCAAGAGACAGATGCTTAACTGACTGAGCCACCCAGGCATTTCTTATTCACATTATTTTAAATCAAAAGCTGACTTCTCTGTCATTTTTTATGGTAATAAAAACTAATTAGCACTTGTTTTATAAAAAAAAGAAAAGTACAGCCAGTACAAAAATAATATGGAATCTATTTCAAAACTCAAGTGTTCTATTGTCTTCTGTTCCTTTTGCACAGCAGATAGGGATAAAGCACTGATTTTAAATATGACTATTTTGTAAAAAACCCATGTTGGAGGCTTTAAATAAACTCTCAGGGATAGTAGCAATTACAAAGCTAGGTGTGATAACTGACTTAACAGAAGTACAAAAGATCTATAAGCCAGACTTCAGATCCACTCTTGCTATAACAGCTGTGGAGATTTCAATTCACAAATATTTGCTGCACACATACTATATGCAAGAAAGATATAAAATGATTAAGAAAAGGTTGCTGCCTGTAACATAGTTATAATAAAGTGAGGCAAATGCATAAATATAAAACTAAGGCAGAAAATGTCATAATTAGGATATATATAATAGCCCATAGAACACGGAAAGTGCTGTAGTTCAATAAGGGGGATTATGGCTAATATTCAGAGGAGACGTGGCATGGTAGAAAGGCTTTTGAGTTAGCTAGTCATGCATCCAAATCCTGCTCCAGTCACATTTTAGTCATGTAAACACAATAAAATGATTGGCTTCCTGAGTAAATATAACTCCTCTGTGATTTAAGAGTTATTGACTATATACGTGGATTTTGACTACAATATTTTGTTATTTCAAAATAGGAACATTTAAATCTATTTATTTTTTAATAATATAATGACAGTATAATTTTTGTCAAATTCTAAATTCTGAGATAAAGCGTTAAATCATTAAAATACTTAAAAACACCAGTAATACTGCTCCTCAGCAATTAAAATTCTAGACTTCTGATGCAATCAATAACTTTTATGATTTACCTTTAACAGTTGACAAGGTGTTTGCCCAAAATTATTAATCATCCCTTCTAAGGCTTTTCTTTCCTTTTCATCTGTTAAGGCATCTAGATCCACAGCTCCTAAAACAAGGAAAAGTCAACTTACTACAGAGTGAAAACAAATCAGCAAGACACACAACTGATAAATATACTGGGGACTGATGAGTATATTTTCAATAAAATATTATTCCGTTCTTCAATTTATAAGAATATTGTGAGAGGTCACTTAAAAAAAAAAAAAAACAGTGAACCCTCAAACATTAAATATGTATAAAAATAAATTCCATCTATTATTCTCCAACAAAAAAAAAAGTGGGGGGCGGGTAGCAACTGGGTAGCTCAATAGTTTGAGTGTCCAATCTTGATTTCTGCTCAGGTCATGATCCCAGGGTCATGGGATCAAGGCCCGCTCTGGACTCCACACTCAGCGTGGAGCCTACTCCAGATGATTCCCTCTCTCTCTCTCTCTCTCTCACTTGTGCTCTCTCTTAAAAAACAAAAAATTCCATCCATTATTTAGAACAAAAATGTTTCAAACAAAAGTTAACTGAAGTCCATAAAAATTTCTCTTGGAAAAGTACAAATTATTCACGGTATACTTAATTGTTTTCTTCATGATAATCAAGCTGAAACAAATGTAATAATCACACAAAATACTACTATAAATTACCATTTATCTAACAAATACTAGGAAAGGTAACACTCTGGTTAACTGATTATACCCAGCCATACTTGATATGGTTACTAATTGGCCAAACTAGGTAAGTCTGATTTCAAATCAAGCCTATGCTCATAACCAACATGGATACTACCTCTCTACAAAACTATTATCAAATGAATATGGCAAAGCAAGAGCATGCTTGTTTATTTACCAAAAGGCATATGGACTCTGCTCATATTTACATAACTTCACACTATTCACAATCTTTAGAACTATTAGGATTAGATCTACTGAATGATTAAAAAAGAAAACAAACTACTTTTTTTTTAATGTTTATTTTTGGAAGAGAATGAGAGAGAAAGCACGAGTGGGAGAGGCGCTGAGACAAGGGAGACAGAGGATCTGAGGCAGGCTCTGTGCTGACAGCAGGGAGTCCAATGCCAGGCTCAAACTCATGAACGAACAGTGAGATCAGGACCTAAGCTGAAGTCAAATACTTAACTGACTGAGCCACCCAGTCGCCCTGAAAACACTATTTCAAAGCCTTCAGAAAATGTTCTTCATCTTGAGCTAAACACTGGAATGATGTCATCTTACTATTATTTGAAGACTTTGTTATTTTTAATACTAAAGGTCTTCTTTCAAAGTCTGCTAACAATTCAACACTAAATACTTATTGTAGGACCTGACTGAATAGGACACATATGGTCAGAGATCAAAAACTTTTATGACACCAATAACTGACATTTACAATCAGATTTTCCATACATACTGTTTTTTTTAATCCCCTTTATCTATTTCACCCCTCCCTGCACCTACCTCCCTGCTTTGGCAACCACCAGTTTGTTCTTTGTATTTAGAGTCTTTTTGTCTTTTTTCTTTGTTCATTTGTTTTCTCTCTTGTGCTTTTTTTAAAAAAATTTTTTTTAATGTTTATTTATTTTTAAGAGAGACAGACACAATGCGAGTGGGTTAGGGGCAGAGAAAGAGGAAGACACAGAATCCAAAGCAGGCTCCAGGCTCCGAGCCGTCAGCACAGAGCCCAAAGTGGGGCTCGAACTCATGAGCTATGACATCATGACCTGAGCCGAAGTCAGACGCCCAACTGACTGAGCCACCCAGGCGCCCTAAGACATGTACACTTCTTAATCCCATCACCTATTTCACCCGTTCCCACACACACCTCCCCTCTGGTAACTATGTTTGTTCTCTATAGTTAAGAGTCTGTATCTTGGTTTGCCTCTCACTTCGCTTGTTTTGTTTCTTAAATTCGACATGAATGAAATCATGGTGTTTATCTTTCTCTGATTGGCTTATTTCACTGAGTATTACATTCTCTAGGTCCATCCATATTGTTACAAATGGCAAGATTTCATTTTTATGGCTGAGTAATATACCATATAGTACATATACAGTACATATAAAAATATATACATCTTCTTTATCCATTCATCTATCAATGGACACCAGTTGCTTCCACATCTTGGCTATTATAAATAATGCTACCATAAACATAGGGGTGCACAGATATTTTCAAATTAGTATTTTCCTATTCTTTGGGTAAATATCCACTAGTGGAATTACTGGATCAAAGGGTACTTCTATTTTTAATTTTTTGAAGAACTTCCATACTATTTTTCACAGTGGCTGCACTTGTCTGCATTCCCACCAACAGTGAACAAGCATTCCTTTTTCTCTACATCCTAACATGTTATTTATATATTTTTTAATATGAAATTTATTGTCAAATTGGTTTCCATACCACACCAAGTGCTCATCCCAACAGGTGCCCTCCTCAATGCCCATCACCCACTTTCCCCTCTCTCCCACCCCCCATCAACCCTCAGTTTATTCTCAGTATTTAAGGGTCTCTTATGGTTTGCCTCCCTCACTCTCTAACTTTTTTCCCCCTCCCCTCCCTCATGATCTTCTGTGAAGTCTCTCAGGATACACATGAGTGAAAACATATGGTATCTGTCTTTCTCTGCCTAACTTATTTCACTTAGCATAACATTCTCCAGTTCCATCCACGCTGCTACAAAAGGGCATATTTCATTCTTACTCATTGCCAAGTAGTATTCTGTTGTACATACAAACTACAACTTCTTTATCCATTCATCAGTTGATGGACATTTAGGCTCTTTCCATAATTTGGCTATTGTTGGAAGTGCTGCTATAAACATTGGGGTATAAGTGTCCCTATGCATCAGCACTCCTGTACCGCTTGGGTAAATTCTTACCAGTGCTATTGCTGGGTCACAGGGTAGATCTATTTTTAATTTTTTCAGGAACCTCCACACTGTTTTCCGGAGTGACTGCACCAGTTTGCATTCCCACCAACAGTGCAAGAGGGTTCCCGTTTCTCCACATCCTCGCCAGCATCTATAGTCTCCTGATTTGTTCATTTTAGCCACTCTGACCCGCGTGAGGTGGTATCTCAGTGTGGTTTTGATTTGTATTTCCCTGATGAGAAGTGACGTTGAGCATCTTTTCATGTGCCTGTTGGCCATCTGGATGTCTTCTTTAGAGAAGTGTCTATTCATATCTTCTGCCCATTTCTTCACTGGATTGTTTTTCGGGTGTGGAGTTTGGTGAGTTCTTCATAGATTTTGGATACTAGCCTTTTCTGATATGTCATTTGCAAATATCTTTTCCCATTCTCTTGGTTGCCTTTTAGTTTTGTTGATTGTTTCCTTTGCAGTGCAGAAGCTTTTTATCTTGATGAGGTCCCAATAGTTCATTTTTGCTTTTAATTCCCTTGCCTTTGGAGATGTGTCAAGTACGAAATTGCTGCGGCTGAGGTCAGAGAGGTTTTTTTTCCTGCTTTCTCCTCTAGGGTTTTGATGGTTTCCTGTCTCACATT